CTGCCAGGGAACATTCTGATGAAGTGCTCAGGAAACAGAGTCTGATACTTTGGAGCCCAGCAGAAGTGCTGTTCTCAAAGCCCGTGTGACTCTGAGGCCACTTGTGCACTCCCAGGGGTGCCAGGCTCATTAACTGTGACAAGTGTGTCTCGGGCTCCTGAGGTCAGCAGGGAGAGAGTTGTTCCGCCCAGGAGCTCTCCGTGCCGTCTCAGAAAACTATGTAAACTCCTGTCCCCTCTCACTCTGAGCACTCCCTGTCATGCCAGGGTCCCCTAATGCAGAAAATCCAGGTGAATTCAGCATTTATAAGTGAGACTTTTTTTCATGCTTTTTAATTTTTTTTTCCTTTTACCACCCTCCATCCCTTTATGTGCTATTTCCTTGTGAAGATGGGAAGCAAGTGTATCAACATTCTTAGGAGGCTGGAGACTTCTCGTGTTTTGTCCTGCACCCTGACAACACTGGATGAACCAGACCTTGAAGGACTCTCACAACTGTGAATTCCTCTCAGTATAAAGTGGAGGACAAACTATGACCTCTGAGTGTACCGTTTTCTCCTCTAACCAAAGAACTCCCTCTTCTTTTTGAAAAGTCTCTTCATTCTCTGACCCTAGTGTAGGTGCACGAGGTTCCTGTGTTTTGTTGGTAAGTTTTGTTTTACGGAGTCCCCTGTAACCTTAGCAACATGTATTTATATTTTGTCTCAAAATTACACAACTCTGTAATTTTAACAATTACACAACTTTTCTGTGAAGATAACTGTTTTCATGTGCAAATAATGAATCAAGGATGTGATGTGTCTACATCAAAACAGAAAATAATGTTCTCATGCTGTCCATGAGCGGACAGCATTTCCCTTCACCTATGTATTATAATGGGCTCCATTAATGACAGCTAGAAAATGCAAAAAGAAAATAAGGCCGGTTGAAAGTAATTATGAAACTATACCTAGAATCAAGGAAATTTTTCAGTACTGGAAAACTGCACCTACAGTTAACTGTTGTGATTGCATCTTAAACTGAACATTGCAGAAACCATTCTAAGTACCAGGACTTGAGGACTTTGGCAAAGAAGCCATAGATGAATGCACGTAAGAATTGGGGGTGCAGAACCTGCCAAAGAACACAGGGTGACTGCAGTGGTACTCACATTATGAACGTTCAACATTCAAAGGGAAGAAATCTGCAAGCTCCCCAGACCAACTCCTGTAGGACAAGGGACTCCAAAATTAACCTCCCTTTCCTGTCTCAAGCCCTCATTTTCCTGTCCCAAGCCCTCCCTTCCTGCCCTAAGCACAATAAAAATTCCAATTGGGCTGAGCCCCGCGCGATTCCCCAGATAGGCTCTGTTGGACTGGGTGGTCTCGCCTGGGAGTGAATCTCAATAAAGCCTCGTTCAGCAGCCTTTTAATCTGCCTCCTTTTGGTCACCCATGCCTGACCTTACAACTTCCAATTGCAGCAACGTGGGAGGAAGAAATTTGTGGCACAGGAGCTCAAGCAGCCATGTGCCCCTTGTGAAGCAGGAGTGGCCATCTGTGGGTGTCGGGGTGGAACACATGCATTCCCTTCCCCAGTATGTGGCACTGTGTGATGAGAGGTAATTGAAGTCAGCCTGAGAGGTTTATCAGATAAATTCTTGCCAATGTTGTCCTGTATGTTTTTTCTCTTGTTCTTGTTATTTGCAGGTTGAGCATATATATGCCCCTGAAAGACATTCAGATTTTCTTCAGGCTTAATAACAATACATTCAGTTTCCTGAGAATTTCTGTGAAATGCCATTTCCTTCAAGTAAAGAAATATTCTGTGGAAAAGGTTACAGGATCTGACTGTGGACGTTTCTTCACTCTCTGGATTGTCTGGGTTTACATACCTGAAGAACAGCAGGTATTTGCAATTCAAATCCATGCATCTTAGTAACATATGTTGATTGCTTCAATGAAGAGACTGGGGACTCTCACATATTTACTAACAGTTTTGAAATAATTCGTACACATATGTATAACACTGACATTTTACTTTCCACTGTAGGAAATATTTTCACCTGTAGGTAAAAATTTCTTAATTTAATCCTAAATCAGCCTGAATATTTTGTGATCCCAACCTAATAGGAGCAGGTACCAGGTTCATAGTGTTTGAGGGGAGTCCAAGGCCACAGGATTCATCAGTGTCACAATGGAAGAACTTGGTTCATCTAATGCTGACTCTGTCTCACTGCATGTCTGCTCCCTGACTGCAGGAGTGGATCCCTGTGTAAAGGGGCTCACTCCAGATGCTTCCTGATACATTCTTAAATACTAAGCCACATCAAAAGATGCAACTGACACCCAGCTATTCAACCAGTGCAGATCCTCTGCTCCCCCAGAGTGTATGATCTAACCAGGTATTTGATTTAGAGTCCCAGTTCACACTGAGGAAGTCTGCTCTCTGACAAGTTAGACCTCTGTGAGCAAGCAGCAGAAGACTGTCAAGCTGGAGAAAGGACCAGCCCTTACAATTAGCCCTGGCATTTCACCACTAGGCACACACAGCAAGCTGGCATAGAAAAAGGAGGCATAGCAGACAAAGTTTTAAAGAATATTTAGGAGTGAGTAGGAACAGAGCAGAGAATGGCATTTGAGTACACTACAACACTCGGTTCTCTGTGTTATTGAGGTTTTAGTGTATGATAGGAGTTAAGTGAACCAAGACTGCTGCCTAGGACATCCCATGAGTGGACAGCATTTCCCTTCACATATGTATTATAATGGGCTCCATTAATGATGGCTAGAGAATGCAAAAAGAAAATAAGACCGATTGTAAATAATTATGAAACTGTACCTAGTATCAAGGAAATTTATGAAACCTGGCACTAAAGATTATAAAATTAGAAAAAATAAATAAATGTGGTCAACATTGCTTGCACTCTTAAGAAACAGCAGTTCTGATTAAAATAACTTATGATATCTCTAAATTATGAATAATTTTCACTGATCAATTGAATGATTATGTTATTTGGAGCCCAGCCAGGGACCCTGCCTGGATCCTATTGGCAGGATTCAGTTATCCATCTGTATAAGAAAATGTTACAAAAGGAAAAAAATGAATTTTGTGCACTTTGACAAAGCTGGGGAGAAGCAGCTATGTCATTTCTCCCTGGTCCCATAGAAGCATAACTTAATAGAACCAAAGCCAGGAGTTCTGGGTGCAGAGATTTATTTTGGCTGGGCTGGCTAGAGATCATGGCAGTCTCAGTTTCCTGGCTGCCCCCAGGGGCCATAGTTAGTTTTTAAGTTTTTGGCTCTCATCATGAGGACGTTAGCAGATACAGAGAAACAGTTGTCAGAAATTGCTTTTACTTTTAGCTGGGTGCAGTGGTGCATGCCTGTAATCCCCAAAACTCGGGAGGCTGAGGCAGGAGGAAGGCAAGTTCAAGACCAGCCTAGCAACTTAGTGAGTCCTTGTCTCAAAATAAGAACTAAAATGGGCTGGGGATGCAGCCTAGTGGTAAAATGTCCCTGGGTTCAATCCCCAGTACCAAAAAATAAAAAAAAATAAAAAATTAAAGGGACTCTGTTCAATTACATATAGCTAAAAATGTAATAGACCACTTGGCTCTCATGTTTTACTTGATAGCTACAATCACTATCTAGCTATTGTCCTGTGTGATGGGTGAGAACACAGAGGGAACTGAGACCACCCAGGGCACCCTTCCCCCACTAACTGATGGTTTGCTGCTGACACTTGGTCACTGGTGGAAAAGGGGCTTTACAGCTCCTCACTTCCTGGGTTGACTGCAGACCAAAGAGCCAACAGGTGTGGAGATCCTTCAGCTCAGCTTGGCACAGGGTGATTTCACATTGGTGTCAATACTGTTCAGTGGTGTGCTTCAGTGTCAATGACTCGGAGGCTCTCCAACACAGGTTTGGAGTGTTTAGAGGAGCCGTGGATTAGTTTGGTTAAATTAACTCAGTTCAGAAAAATATCTGTCATGAATTCAGCCTTAAAACACATGGAAGGCCATTCTTTACTTTCATAAGGGATTTCTTTGTTTTTCTTCATCAAAACCTGAAATTACAAGAGACACACTCAGTTTTTCCTAATCAAGAAATACTTAAAATACTAAAATTTCCAGAAGTAGATGTGATTTATAGCTCAATATGTATTTCCCTGTGTATTTACTCTGAATCATTCTTGATAGCACTAATTGCTAATTCTCATGCTTCTCAATCCTAATATCAATTCCTCATTATCCTGAAATTAACATTAACATTTCTGTCTTAAAAATAAGCAAAGAAAAGTGAGCAATAGTCTCCTATATTAGATGATCCTTTTGCATCTGAATTTGCAAGAGTGGTTCACATTCCCCCATTCAGACATCCCACACAATTTGCCGACAACGTGGGTGAACTGACACTAAGTGTATTCTCAAGATGGAGCCTGTGACTCCTCTGACCCTCGAGATGTAGAACATGACTCCTGTGACCCTTGAGATGTTGACCATGACTCCTGGACTGAGTGGTAGATTACCACCCATGTGGCTGAATGGCAGACAGACAACTCATAAGCAGATAAAGACGATTTGAAGATGATGGTTATGCTGACCATGACTGAGGGGCATTTAACAACGGTCCCAGTTGATCTGCACTAACGTGTGCTCACACTCATGTGTACACACACACACACAGAGGGAGCGACAACCATGGTACATTCAGTTGCCGCAGAGCATAGGTTACATCTTTATGTACTGTTACACAAGCACTATCGTCATACAGTAGTATCTGCTGACATTTTGTCCAATATAGTTAGTGAATTTATGGCTTAATAATGATCAAATTTACTAAAAATCAGTATAGATTAACATTCTGATACAGATTAGTTGTTGCTTATCAGTTCTGAACTATTAAGAAAGCCATTTTAGACTGTTTCTTCCAAGTCCGATGCTTGACCACTAATCCGAATGTTCTTGTTTAATCCTCTGGGAAATGCCATCCTTCTATCTGGAAGACGTTGGGCTACTCCCACCACCGCAGCCTCAATGGCAGGGGACAACACGTCCTCAGCGGACTTCACCCTTGGGGGGCTGTTCGGCACGGAGGAGACTGGAGGCCTCGTCTTCGCGGTCGTCTGCATCGTCTTCTTCACGGCTCTGACGGCCAATGGGGTCATGGTCGTGCTGATCCGTGCTGACGCGCGCCTGCACACGCCCATGTACTTCCTGCTCAGCCACCTGTCGCTCATCGACATGCTGTACATCTCCACCATTGTGCCCAAGATGCTGGTGGACTACCTGCGGGGCCAGAGGACCATCTCCTTCGCGGGCTGCACCGCGCAGCACTTCCTCTACCTGACGCTGGTGGGCGCCGAGTTCTTCTTGCTGGGCCTCATGGCCTACGACCGCTACGTGGCCATCTGCAGCCCGCTGCGCTACCCGGTGCTCATGAGCCGCCGCGTCTGCTGGCTGATCGTCGCGGGGTCCTGGCTGGGGGGCTCGCTGGACGGCTTCCTGCTCACGCCCATCACCATGAGCTTCCCCTTCTGCGGCTCCCGGGACATCGACCACTTCTTCTGCGAGGCGCCCGCGGTGCTGAGGCTGGCGTGCGCGGACACGGCGCTCTACGAGACGGTGATGTACGCGTGCTGCGTGCTGATGCTGCTGACGCCGTCCTCGGTGGTGGTCGCCTCCTACGCGCGGATCCTGGCCGCAGTCCACCGCATGAGCTCGGCCGAGGGGAGGAGGAAGGCCTTCGCCACCTGCTCATCCCACATGATCGTGGTGACCTTGTTCTACGGGGCCGCCATGTACACCTACATGGTGCCGCAGGCTTACCACCAGCCAGCGCAGGACAAAGTCTTCTCCGTCTTCTACACCATCCTCACGCCCATGCTGAACCCGCTCATCTACAGCCTGAGGAACAAGGACGTGGCCGGCGCTCTGCAGAGGGCCCTGCGGAGACTCCGGGGCTCTCAAAGAGTGTCCCGAGAGGCCTTCTGACTGCCAGCTCTGGTCGTGTGGATGGCAATGGGAACCCTGGCTTGGTGGCCGGGCTCCCCCTGCAGGAATGAACTGGAGGAAAGGGTTCAGCTGTGCAGGAGGAAAGCAGCTGACTTGAAAGTGTGTCCCCTGTACTTCCCTCTCTCAGCTCTTTTTCTGTTCTTAACACCTCCTTTTTGTCCTACTTGGTTCACATTTATGCAAAATAAATACCCAGTGGTTTCCAGAAACAAAAGTTGGAAAATTTCCCCTGGGGTTTTACCTTCTGGAGGTATATTAAACCACTCGGAATCGTCAATGGCATGGGCAGTAGCGAGGAGTGCACTGCCTGTAATCCCAGCAACTACGGAGGCTGAGGCTGGAGGATGGAAAGTTCCAGACCAGTCTCAGCAACTTAGGGAGCCCCTAAACAGCTTAGTGAGACCCTGTCTCAAAATGAAAAAAATAAAAAAGGGCTAGGGAGTGGCTCAGTGGTTAAGTGGCCCTGGCTTTAATCCCTGGTACTAAATAAATAAAGGGAGTACAGGAGGGAAGATGGTTCTTTGAGATCTATGACAATCGGGTGTAAGTCTAGCTCACTGTTGAAAGAGAAGAGGAACATCATCTTCTGAGAACCTTCCGGGCTCATTCATAGGTGGTAAGAAGAGCCATTGGGCAGTTTCCTCCAGTGGTCATTGTCTGCACCACAATCACTAGGTGCTCATTATTTCCAGTAAAAATTCAGCACTTATTTTTGTTTGCAGCACATGAATGAAAATGATTTATCTGATAAGTTACAGCTGATGGATGAACGCAAAAGGCACTGCCCAGAGGGCACATGAGCATACTGTGGGAGGGGTCTCAAAACATTGGAGAAATATGCAAACCTGGAATGGGGAGATGGCAAATCACATTTCAAGTGCATTAAGTGATCACCAGTTAACCTGCCCAGGTGATAGAGGTCAGCTGAGTTCCTCTCCATCCCCCACTGATGCTGGAATTGAGGACAGAAGGCCTGTGGCAGGGGCTGGGAAATGGCTCAGTGGTGGGGTGCTCACCTATCATACCCTGGGTTCCATTTCCCCCCCCCCCCCGAAAAACATGTGGCAGGCCATGAGAAGTGCATCATGTGCCTATACAAGGAGTTCACTCTGGGGGAAAAGGGGTGACTTTGCTCAATTTCCAGTGTCCAGGTGGAAGTGTCATCATAGGAACTTAACCAAGGGCATAGCTAGAAACACACTAGTCAGGCTCTCTGTGAAAGGTAACGACTCACATGCCTGTCAGTTCATCATCCTCTAAGCTCTGCATGAGAAGGAAGCCCTTATTGATACCTCTGGTTACTGGAGAAATGCCAAGGGGAGTATAGAGAGCAAGGTTTATTTCAAGGACAGAAACAGACTTTTCCCTGGAGGGAGAAGGGGAACATAGCTGGTATCCAAAGAAGTGGGAATGTCCTGCCCCTTTGTACATCTTAAATTTTCTCTGCCTCATGCCTTCCTTCCTCCTTATCTCTCACCACCCTGCATCCATGACCAGTGGCCAGGGTGAGCCAAATGGTGAGGGCCAGATGGGCAAGGGGAGGGCCAAATGGTGGAGTGATTCAGGCATTAAGGTAAGAGCCAACTCTTAGGATTCCCTGCAAGGAACAGCTATTCCTGGGACAGGTTACCTCGGCAACAGGTTGGAGCAGGAGCAGGGGGAAGGGCCTTGGAAAGAGGAGGGGGAAAGGGCAGCATTTGATTTTCTTTCCAACTAGCCCCAACCTTCCTGGTTGAACACAATTATTTATTATCTATATTGACTACCTTTTGTCCCCCAGCTTCATGATCATGAGTTCTCATTTGCAGGCAGGTGCAGTACAGTGTGTGTCAAGCAAGGGACTTCTCTGGGGTAATGTGTGTGTGCGGGGGACCCACACCTTGCTGCCTCTAAAGGACCTTGAATGATAGAACCATGTGTGCAGATGTAGCTCCCTGAGTCAGGCATTTATTCACATTCTTTATGGCTGTGAGCAAGACAAAGCACCTGCACTCAGGAAATGTTGTTATAGTAAAGACTATGAAAAGAGAGCAACCCAAACAGGAAAGCAAGGGGAGTAACTTAGTACCACAGCCAGTTTGTGTGTGGTAGTGTCCCAGGAAAGCAGGGAGCTAAAACTCCCAATCTCAGTTTTATGTTCCGACCAAAGAAAATTTAAAGTCAGACATCAAAAGTCATGCAAGAGTACTTTACTATAGGTGACAGTAAAACAAAAGTGAAGCTTGAGCCGAGAGTACTCTCAAGGGAGAAAGTGGGCTGTCTCCAAGCAGAGAATGACAGAGAAGACAACGCTGTCCCCAATTTTACTACTGTTTGATGTTCACTAGGAGAGCTGGGGGCCCTCTTCTGTACTCTCTGCCAGTCTGGTGTTCAACTCTTCCTTCATGTTGGGTGGTGGAGTTATGGATCTTACTTGGTCCTCTCTGGAACTGTTATAGTGGCCATTCTTTTTAGGGGGGTTTCATCTACAAGTCAATCCCATGTTAATGTGGGCACTGGGGTCAATAGCTGGTCAGAAGTTATCTTAGTGTGCCTGTGCTATTAATGGAATCTTCAATCCCAGAAAATTGAAGACACTTATGGCCATAATTCCTAGCTTCACATCAACCTCAGTGGACCCTGTCAATAATTAGTCCCATTAATCCTTTTCTCTTGTCGTGTTTTACAAATAGCTCTCTTGCTTTTGTTTGCTTTCTATAGATTAACTGCCACCATTTGATATCTTAAGATAGTTTAAAGAAGGACCCTGAGGTAAGTTAAAGAACACTTTGTGACCTTACCATGCATCTCACTGCCCACTGCTAGCTCCTACCTAACAGTAGCTGTGAAGAGAGCTGAACATATCTGTGCCCTGAACCCAGCATGGCCACCATTGAGTGGATTCCTAATAGACACCTGTGCATGATGTTCACCAAAGGATGTACAATAGCCCCCAAATATGGAAGCCACCCAGAGCCCAGGGAGAGTGAAATGGATAAATGCACGGGTTAGGTCCTTAGGGCAAAGTAACTCCATTTTGAAAATCAGCACCTGTTCACAAAGGCATGACCTTCTTGTTAAGCCTGCCAGCAAAGAGTTCCCAACGATCAAAACCACAATCAAGACGACAAGTAATAATTAACAATCACAGAACCAGAGAGGTTATTTTTTATTACTCCATATACATGAATATATACTTAGGAAGTTTGTTCTAGCAGACTGTTGCGCCTTGCCAAGGGCAGCCTGAGAGATATCCTCTGTCAATAAACCTTTGCTTGACTCAGAGATGTGTCTCTCATGGATATTTGCACCTGCTACCATAGCAACACGTGGGACATGTTTACATACTATGCAGAATGTTCTAATACTGCCTGCAATCACAGGGATTAATCTCATGAACGCTGGGTGGACTTCAGTCACAGACTGAAAGAGAGCTAACAAAACTGCCCACATTTTAGGAGGGTCAGCAGCTGGACAGCACATAGGCAGGCGTCTGGTGGGAACTGTTAATTTCTGTTCCTTAATGGGAAAGCTGATTTCACACCCAAAGTTCAGTTTCAGAAAAGTGATCAAGTTCAAACTTTTTACATGTTTAATACTTTTTGTATTACATTATACTTCCCACAATGGGGCAGTGGGAGCTACATAATTAGGCCAGTATCCTCCCCAGCACTTTCCCCTCCTAGCACCCTTCCACCTGGTCCCTTTCCTCTACTGAACGCCTTTTGATTTTCATGAGATCTTTACCCCCACTTTCTATTTCTCTTTCCTCTCTAGCTGCTGCATATGAAAGTAAACACACCACTCTTGACCTTCTGTGTTTGGCTTATTTGTCTTAACATAATGCTCTCAAGTTCCATCCATGTTTCTGCAAATGGCACAACTGCATGCTTTTCTATGGCTGACTAGAACCTCTGTGTATATAGAGCACATTTTCTTGAGCCTTTCAGCCACTGACAAACACCTAGGCAGGTTCTATATTTTGATTATTGTGAATTGTGCTGCTAAAACGTGGGTATGCATGTCTCACTAGAGCATGCCAACTTTAATTATCCTCTCTAGGATAAATGCTGAGAAGTGGCATATTTTGGTCATGTGGTGACACCCTTCCTAGTCTTGTGAGGCACCCCCATGCTGGTTTTCATATTGTTTAAGGGTGTCTTGCACTTTAAAGGCATTTTGTTCTCCAGCCCTCGTGGGCCATTCAGGTCCAGCATTCTGGCAGACACAGCTGGAGCAGATGCAGGGCATCTTCCTGTTTGCTGCCCCTTAGCCTATGTGAGACATCTGAAGTACTGGTGTGTGCCCAGCTGTGGAGAACAGGCTGCGTCCTCTTCTGGTTACTGCTAAAGTACAGAACAGGACTTTTCAGGCCTAAACCTGGGTTACTTCATTTTGCAAAGCAGTTTGCCATGAGCAATTCTATTTTTAGTTTAAGAATGACTCCACACCTGATTTGTATAAGTAAGCAGTCACCACCTGCCTGGCACAGCCATGAGGCCCAAACTGATAAAGAAACCATGCTAATAAGAATGACCACCCGTGCACCACTTGTAAATTCATCACAAGCAAGGGATGCATGGGTGTGTCAGACTCACACCAGGAAAACCAGGCCACGAGCTTATCAAAAATACCTGACCACCAAATGAAGCAGCCCCTCACTTGAGGCTTGTAAAAGGAGGAGGATCCCAAGACTGGACAGGGAAGCACCCTGACCGGTCACCTGGTTGCTCCTCAGGAGCCTTGCCCAGGACATTTGCCACAGAGACAGACCTCTGGATCTCTGCTTCAGCACAGCATGGTTTCTCCTGCCTGTGTGACCACATACAACCCACTCCAAGCTGACATCTCCAGTGGGCCCTGTGGAACCTCTGCCCTGTGAACCCTGGCCTAGAATAAGCTCTGGGCTTCACAGCTCTGTGCCTAAACAAGTTCTTGGCTAGTTCCTAATCTTATCTGACCACCTGTGGTGACTCTTTGCATCTGTATCTGCCCTCTGCCTTTGCTCTCAGCTCAGCCTCCTGGACCCCTGTGGCCACCGTAACCCTCTCTTATCCTTTCTGTCACCTCTGTTTATCATTGTGTGAAGTGTGATGAGTGATTTGAGTGTTTCAGACATTGGTAGTTAAGACTGGAATGAAAGAACTCACAATTGCCCAGCTTGTGA